AATGACAATAGTAAGGATCAGGAAAGAAAAAGCAGCAGTTCCCTGTTGTAGATCAGGCACAGTCATGAGCGTGACATGAGTCAGCCCATTTACAATTCTACTACAAAGTGGCTAGCCATACGTAGATCTAGGTTTGGCCCTATCGACTCAAGCCTGTTAAGTACACAGGTCTCATTAGATCTAGGTCTAGTAATTATTCAGGTTCAAATACATGCAAGTCAGTAAGACACCTTTTGGATTTGTCTGAAATACAAATACTTAATTTGGCATTGCAAACTAAAAATTTCATTTACAATTCAGCCATCAATATTAAGTACGGCTAGCCTCTTCCTTTCTACTATGCTTGAACGAGAAATGTCCCCCCCTTTGGGAATGGCCTAAAGACACTACAGTCAGTGGCACTGCCCCGGGGGGTTCCCAAGAGTCTTGGAGGAAAACCCGGAACACAACAAAAATAGATGGCGGAAATCCTTCATCTATATTTGGGCCAATCACCACAGAGATATATGCTAGGTGCTCGCTGTAGCTTCATGAGATCTTGAGTAGATCTAGATATAATCTAGATTTAGATCTAGTCTTGATGTAAATCTATATGTAAATCTAGATCTAGATCTATTATTATTGACATTGACGATTAAGTCGGTTGAGGCTTTAGAAGAGCCTGTTTGACTCTGGTAACGAATGACAATGCATTGCGTGCAGGCTAGACTAATCAGTTTTGGCAAGTGGGGTTGTAGATCAAAGGGAGATCTTTCCAGTATTCGTCCAGACATCTCTTGAATGTGTTCACGTTTGGGGCTGACACCACTGACTCGGGGAGATTGTTCCAAAAATAGCATTTTCATTTTTACCTGATTTTCAACAGTTTGCCCTCACACACGATCTGCTTCTTTGGGAGCTTCTCTGGGTTGCCACGGAATTGTATGGTTGATGCCTTTGTAAAAGCAGGTCTTTTGGTGATGATCTAGATCTAGATAAATCCACTAGACTAGATCTAGTCATAGCCTGTAATTATTAGGCTGTCGTTATTCTCACCCGGAGTGAAAATAAAAATATAATTTTATTCTCACACGAGGTGAGAAGAATATCATTTTATTCTCACCCGGGGTGAAAATAATATTATATTGTTATTCTCACCCTGGGTGAGAATAAAATGAATATTATTCTCACCCGGTCTGAGAATGCAATGGATTTTTTAGGTCTACCTGGGTGTTGAGAACAGATGATAGAAAATCATTTGTGAATTGTAAGAGAGTGACCGTTCGTGACCTGCCCCAGAGCGCTGATCGATTTTTCTAGACTCCCACGGGGATTGTTATTGTTTCATTTGTTTAAATCTTGAGTTGAGTGTATGCACGAAAATCTTCGCCAAAACCCTAGACAAGTGGAAATATATTCTAAATTCAGAAAGGAATTCACTTGCCAGAGTAGTATGTTTTTGAAAATAATAGCCTTACTGAAAGCTGTTTAATTAAATAATGTTAGTAATAGTTTGTCATTGTTCATTGTAATGTTAGAATTGGAATTTCTGTTTACAACACAAAAAAACATGTATAATTGTTATCCCTAGCGGAACCCATGATTATTTTTAAGGAACGCAGTGCCTTGACCCTAGGCATATTTTTTTTCTTAATTTTGATAGGTTAAATTATGGAAGTGCCTATTTGCAACGCCGCGTTGTGATTAGCGCCAGTCTAAATAAAACACTGCGTTGCGATTAGCGCCAGTGCTAAATAAAACACCGCGTTGCGATTAGCGCCAGTGCTAAATAAAACGCTGTGTCGCCGTGTGTAAAATATCAAGCTTAATCTGCACATCGTTATCGGAAGTTTTGATGGCCGAAGTGACAGCGCGTCTGCGCTTAAAGTCAAACCATTATTTTTTTAGCGTGGGTTCGATCCTGGTCCCGGACGGGTTTTTTTGGTTGTTGTTGTCCTCTTCTCGACTGACCAACAAATTGTTCCAATAATTAGATCTTATTGCTTTGTAGTTGTTTTTTATGTAGTGATGAAGCATGCACATTCTGGTTTTGTCCCCAAGAGGAGCTCTGTACAAAGTAGGCCTTAGTTACCTATTAGATACTTTACTTTTTAGTACCAATTTAGGACTGGTGAAAATTCAGTAGTGGCTTTCCTTGGTTTGTGATAGGGCTGGATTCTGCTCGGTTAATCGAAGGCTTGTAAAGCAGCGGAAGTCTTGCGCTAGAGTCTTGCGAGCAGGCTTGTGGTTTGATTTGCCTCCCGCTTGCTACCGGAGGGAACTTCTGGTGAGTTGTGACTCGCGGACAGTCCTGCTGTACTGTGTCGTGACGTCGCGAACTCTCGTGGCAGTGGGCTCAGTACATATTATAGATTCTCTGGTTATTTGCGTTGAGAGGCTTGCACCAAAAGTGCAAGATCGGTTGTTGTTTTTTCATAGTTCGGTTGTAAAAAACAAAAAGCTCTATTCAATGCACTTAAAAATTAATATTGGATCGGCTATTCTTATGATGTTAAGGCCTTGTTTATTTTTAATGTGCACGAGCCAAGCGCTTCATCGTCGCACGCAAAAGACCTCAGTTCGATTCCCAAATGGGGAGAAATTTTTACTGAGAACCTCCGTCTTTCTGCTGGGGCGTTGTTCCCTCTCAGCCCAGGTTGGCCCTGACATTGGGTTGAAGTAGGCCTAGCCCGTCTCCTAAATGTTCTGTATTATGTCACTGTGAGTGTAACACATCTACAAAAATAGGTTACATACATACGATACAAAAGCCAATCACAACGACCCCTGGAGTTTTCCATTTTAGGGTAATTTAAGTCAACTTATTCTTATTACTACCAGAAACCTAGGTCTCTGTTACTACAATACCACGCTCCCTCTCACTTATCCATTCGCTTAGCAGATCAACGGGGGGAAGTTAAAAATAACTTCAGCTCTCTACGCCTTGCACCAAAACAAGCCCTGCCTCTCCCTTCCTCCACGGTTCAAAGTTCACACAGCGCACAGTACTGTCTTGCTGTTTGAACACATCGGACTGTCTTGTCGCCATCAAGACGGTCCTACGCCATCGAGCCCGTGCCGCTCGCTCGGTGTATCGAGACAGTACAAGTCAGCAGGTCAGGTTTGGAGCTTGTCCTGGGGCAAATCTCTAAGCCTAGCGCAAATCAGTACTGTGTGAATTGTGGGGCCTGTGGCAGCGGACGGGACTTGAGGCTTGCGCAGGCCTCCGATTAATCGAGTAAACTACAGCGCCACGCCGCGCAGTGACTCTGTGGGCGAGATCTCTCACTCTCCCCCTCTCTCTTTTTCTGACGTAAGTGGCTTCGCGGATTGCAAGCAGGGTGGGGATGATGAGGGGGCCTGACACGAGTGGCTTCGCGGATTGCTAGTTGCTGAGGACTTGAAGTTTAGACTAGACTAAGGAGGTTACAGTTTGCGCTAGACTCAACTTATCATGCTGGTGATTTGATTTGATGATTTGACCTAGTGATTTGAGGCTTGTGACTTGAACTAACTAGGGGCTTGTGAGCACGAGCGGGTTTGCTACCGGGGTACAGCCCTAGTTTGTGAGTCTAATTTTTTTTTTTTTTTGGTAACTTTTAGGCTCAGGAGAAGGAAAAAAAAACCGTTCCAGGACCGGGATTCGATGCCACGCTTGGAAGCACTGAACATTAGACTTCGAGAACGTAGACAGTAGACAGCTTGTATACGTTCTCTGGGCCTAACTTAACGAGTTGCACCGTCTAATTGTTCTCGTTATCCAAGCGTCTTTCGACTAAAACTTGCTCAAACTCTAACTCAAATGATTATAATTATGAGAGATAAGCAAGACGTTTACTTTTGTGCAAACAATGTCAGAAACAATTGTTAGATCTAATCTAGATCTACATCTAGATTTTTCTAGATCTAGATCTACCCAATATTGATCGGAAGAAGACAACATCATAAAAAAAGGAGTCAAATCCTAGGAGGTTTATCAAAAAACTGAGAAAGCTTCCACAATTCAGGCAGAACTACAATATTATCATGTAGAAACGATGGCTACTACATCTAGATCTAGATTCTAGTAGATTCTACTGGCGTTTCAAATAGCACGGGAGCTATTCAGAACGCGGCGTTGCAAATAGCGCTTGCCTTATTAAATTGCTCAAGAGTAAAATTTTCCATTACAGAACCAATAAGTTAATAGAATCTACTGTAGCAACAAAAGGTGACGTAATTTGCTCAAAAGATAAGGTTTTCCCCCAAATCGACATATTGTTGGAGGGGCACTATCGGTCCGGGCTTTGAACGTCGCATAAGCGTCGGCCTTTTCCCCCCCGGCAACTGATCATATTACAATAATAAGCTAGTCTTGACGTAGATCTACGTAATGAATTTGTGCGCTGGTCTATGGAATCAAAAGTTGCCGTATGCTCAGCTCTACACAGCAACACAACTTTTTCTTGGTAAACAATCGATATGACACAGGCTTGTGTATTTGAACGAATCGGTTTTTGGTTTTTTTAGGCCACCTCTATTCTCTACCCGGAGTGAGAATAGTGCAGGCGAGTCTTGTGGCTATTCTCACCCGGTGCGCGTTCACCCTAAACCTAAACCACAGAATTCTACACTGTGATAACAGAAAAATTGTTGAATTCTGTGCCGTGAACAAACGTTCCATTACAACTGTAGCCTACTAAAAGCGTACAATTTTGTCTGTGGGCAGTGGAGAGAGAGAGAGAAAGAGAGAGAGGAGTAGCGCGAGAATTTCCGGGCAAAACAAAATGGCGACCCGCGTAGTTCGGCTCGATTCGAAAAGTTAAATAGCCGTAGCATCTTTTTGTAGACAACCAAATTAATTTACTTTTGTGTTTTAACATCATATTTTAACTTTGTTTTGGTCAATTTGATCGTCCACACCGATAGACAGTAGAATCTATTCAGAAAGAGACGGAGAGAGAGAAGAGGGGAGGAGTTGATCTTGCGAGAACTTCCGGGCGGGTGAGAATAGCCACTTTCTTTTTTTAATACAGTTTATAATATGCCAGGTGGTCTGCTAATCTTCAATTTTACCTTTTTCTACAACAAAGAAAGTGGGAAACGTGGGGGGGGGGGCATATCAATGAGGCGGCGGGCATTGGATCGGCAGATAAGGTGTGGGGGAAACTAAAAAATGGCAAATGGCGGAAAATTGGAAGCACTGAACGTTAGATCTATAGATCTAGAACGAAGACACTTCCTTTTTTCCGGATCGAGTCCAAATAACATTTTTTCATATTCGGACTCGAGTCCGAATAAGAATTTTTTAAATTCGGACTCTGACTCGAGTCCGAATAACGACGGCCATTCTGTTTATCCTCACCCCGGGTGAGAATAATCACTGTGTAATTATTATAATTATGATCTCATTGGAATTAAAATAAACAAATCGAGGATTCTAAAATAATAAAACAATAAAAAGCAGCATACCTAAACCCAGTGGACCACCACCAAGATTTTTGGCAAGCACAAAGTCCTCGTCTATATTGCTAGATCTAGTTTCGGTTTTCATGTTGCCGACTTTGACATGCAGACGACAGGTCGTCCATTCAATGTTGACATAGCCAGGTAGTTGAATTGGCAGCGCTTCCGCATCCGCTTGATCAGAAGCAATTTGCCAAGTTGAACGTTTAAAAAAAGTGGTTGAAAATTGAAAATATGTATTACTTTACTTTATTTCTTTATTGTGCCTCTGTAGATTCCAGTTGGTCTTCCTCGTTTTCTGTTTACAGTTGGCTTCCAATACCAAGTGTGATAGGGCTTTCTTGTCTGCGGCATTCTTAGAATATGTCCTAAATCTTTTTTATGGTTGTGTTGATATCTTTAATCCCAGCTCTTTCCTACACTTCTCATAATAAATTAAGGATTCCAAAATAAATTAATTCCTTTTTATTAGCAAAATTCTTCGTAAGCATATCGCATGGAAGTTTTTCAATTTTCGTTGAATTATGTCGTTTGTTTTCCAACGTCAATAAACAGCCAAAATATTGCTAACATAGCCTAATATATTATTTTAAATTTCGTCTTCAATGGATTAAAATGATCTTTGACCTTCCTACTTTTTAATTTCACAAAAGCGATCCAAGCATTTTTTTAGTCTTCTAAAAAAATATTTTTAGTAAGAGTCTTAGAGCCAAAAATTCGAGGTGTTACAATAGAGTAAGAAATAGAAAAAAGGAGGGTAGATAAGACGATAGATGTTTGATAGGAAAGAAGAAGCAATTACCACACCAGTACACCAGCCAACCACCCACTTTTAAGTCTTTGAATAGGTGGACGTCTGTTTTAGAGAGATACATTTTTTTAATAAGGCCAACTTTTTCCGCAGCTTTTGCTAGATCTAGATCTAGATCTAGATCCAGTTCGTTTGGGTTTGTTTTGTTTTTGTTTTTTGTTGCTTTTTTAATTGCCTAAATCTAAATACATTATTGCCCATCCAATGCCTGTTTCAATGTCTTTGCTCT